TGTACCAGAGTTCAGAAAACTTGCCACCAGAGCCCCCTATTGATTCTAAATTGGAAATGCTGGGCTCTTTAGCAATTCCTTTCATTCCGTCCCCAAGCTGGAGGACTTTGAACTTTCTTCTGTTTTACACCTGAGGTAGAGCCCAGTAAACCAATAGCCAACATTTACTGAGGGTTCTTTACAAACCCCAGAGTTCTCCTAACGTAGCTGGTTATTTTAGCTGCTTCTCATCATCAGCCTCTGAGACATAGGAATATTCTTGGCTCCATTTTACAAATGAAGGAAGGAATGCAGAGCACAAGGGACTAAGTAACTTGCCCAAGCGGGTGGGCCTGAAGTTAGAAAGGTGGCGGGCCCAGGGTTAGAAGGCAAACCAATAACACTTGAGATGTCGAAGTTCCTGTGTCATCCTCATTGCTCGAGATCACTACAGTGAAAAGTAAAAGCAGCAGATATTTATTGAGGTTGTAGTGTGATTCAGGTCCGCACTTGGTTATGTCAGTGACTCAGAAAGAGATAGGAGCCGGATGCCAGTAACACACCTGTAATCCTAGCTACTCAGGAGGCTGAGATCTGAGGATCTTGGTTCTAAATCAGCCCAGGCAGAAAAGTCTGTGAGACTCTTATCTCCAATAAACTACTCAGCAAAATCTGGAAAAGTGGCACTGTGACTGAAATGGTAGAGCACTAGTCTTGAGCACAAAGACACTCAGGGACAGTGCCTAGGTCCTGAGTTCTAGCCCCAGAACTAGAAAGAAAGAGAGAGAGAGAGAGAGAGACAGACAGACAGACAGACAAGAAATCCTGCTTAGCTGGGCGCTGGTGGCTCACGCCTGTAATCCTAGCTACTCAGGAGGCTGAGATCTGAGGATCGCGGTTCAAAGCCAGCCTGGGCAGGAGAGACTGTGAGACTCCTATCTCCAATAAACCACCAGAAAACTGGAAGTGGCGCTATAGCTCAAGTGGTAGAGCGCTCGCCTTGGGCTGAAGAGCTGAGGAACAGTGCCCAGGCCCAGAGTTCAAGTCCCATGACCGACAAAAAAAAAAAAAGAGATCCTGCTTCCTCTTCAATAAACTCAATGTGTTCTAGTTATCATAGTGACATCATAGGCTTAGCACCTTGATTGTTGATTCTCAATATAAGCTATTGAGTCTTATACTCAAAAAAGGAAGACATTTTGGAAGATAGTTTGTTTTAAATTTTTTTTATTATTTCTTATTGTCTTTAAGTAGTTGTACAGTGGGGTTAGCATTCCACCTGTCAGTTTGTACAAACGAAGAGCCAGCCTCAGGCTAAATTTTACATACAACCTGATATCCGGGAATTGTGGCCCAAGAATTGTCACAGTTTCATGTGATAGAGTGTCATGAGTTTGTCCCACATGAGCCATGAATTAGTATATTCATAATTGTGGTGACACAATGTTCTACTTATTTTGGGGTCTAAATTTTTTCAAACACCAATAGGAGAAAAATATTCTAAAATAGATTATTTCTTCTGGCTTTCCTTCAGAAAGACTGAATAAGAAAAATATGGTGCTGGGAAAATGAGCCAAAATGTTGATGAAATGTCTGTAAATGGTTGTAGGATATAATCAAATGTAAATTGTTATCTTTGTCATAAAATAAATCGAGGCAACAAGTCTAGCTGTTGGCAGTTCCTATGAATAGTAAGTACCTGTTGAAAGGAGTTGCTTGACTTTGAAATTGATTGCAAGAGTAAACATTTATAAGAACTTTCACAAGTTCTAGGTTTTTTAGCCATGTTAGTTACTTCTATTCAGATTATACCAATTATCTTTGCTCCATGGTTATCTCATTAAATTTTTATTCTCTTTGTGTCTATTGGTGTTTGTGTCTCCAGGTTTTCATGCTGTGCCCTTTGAGATAGGGTGTGATGAATATACACCGAATGTAATAGAGAAATGTTTGTAAATGGAGATGACCAAGTAAAGGAAATTGAGACTTGAATTGTGTGGACCCAAATCAGAATAGATATTGTTTAATAATTGGCTTTGTTTCTCATGATTAATAAGACTGTCACTACAAATTACCACTAATGAGAACTGCAGGAATTAGACACACATAGATCAAAATGCCCATTTTCCTGATGATAAGAGGGAGATGGAAAGCTTTGTTCCTCCTGCTCTTTCACCTGGGACTGCAGTAGACTTGGCCACTCAGCCTCAGGAACTACTATCCTATGTGGGTCTCCATGTGGGGCTATGTCTGTAACACTTGCAATGGGAGCAGCAGAAAGTGTGTTTCTGGCCAGAGCTGGAGAAAGGGACCTTGCTGAGTATGCTCAGTACCTTCTCTAGTAATTACTACTCCAATTACTCAGTAGCAAGGTGGCAGGAAAAGGCCCAGGGCCTTTTTGAGTTTTGTCTACCTGGAAACAAAAAGCAAAAGAATGGGAAGGTCTGCCTTCAATAATAAATGATAAAACAAGCTATAATAGAGTGCATAAATAGCAACAACAACAACAAAAACCTTCTGAAGACATTAGCCACAATACATTGTGCTTAGCAAGTACAATAATCACTATATTGTGTATACCAGGATTACTAGACATGAATTTCAAGGTTAAGTCCTATATTCAATACTTAGGATATTTTCAGAAATACTGGTATAAAGACCCAGAAGCAGAGCTAACAGCAACAAATTCTCAATATTGACTGCATCTGATTTCCTATTGAAAACGACCTGTTGACTAGCTCTAAGTCTTATTCCTCAGTGGGAGTTTTGTTCTGTTCAACTGTCTAAGTAATATGTTTTGCCTTAGTCAACATGGAGAAACTATGGCCCTGTATTTATTTTGCATTGCATGGCTATGCTTTTAGATAGAGGCATTCATTTGTAGAAATGAAGTGTGACATACCAAGGGAAAGAGGAAAATATCATTCCACTTCATCTCAAACAGTGGCTGTACTCTGGACATTTTGTGGCATAAAGATTTCCAGTAGAGCTGGCCACTAGTGGCTTACTCTTGTAATCTTAGCTACTCAGGAGGGTAAGATTTTAGGATTGAGGTTCAAAGCCAGCCTGGACAGGAAAGTATGTGAAACTTTTATCTCTAGTTTATCAGAAAAAAAAATCTAGAAATGGTGCTGTGGCTCAATTGGTAGAAAATCAGCTTTGAGTGGAAAAGCTTAAGGATAGCAACCAGGCCCTGAGTTCAAGCCCCAGTACTGGCACATGTACATGTGCGTACATGATATCCTCTATGATAATGATCCTGCAGGTGCTCTACTCAAGTTATTATAAATTGTATGCGAATATACAGAATTTATAACCACAGAGAAACAATTTTTTGACAACTAGCAATTTATTGGATTTAAAGACATTACTGTTTGAATTGTTCTCTGCTACATCCGAGTGCCTAAGATAGCATATTCTACACCGTATTACAATCCTAGTTTATTCACTGGAAGGAAAGAAAATCTGAGGCATCCTTTTTCCAGAGGCAAGTTAACAGTACTTTCTGAGTAATTTGGAATTTGACAGGGAGGTAAGTGTAATGGGCCCCCAAGATAAGACTTTCTGGAAGAAGAAAGCAGGGCTCTTAGTAGCAATTTTTAAGTGAATTCGGCTAGGAGAAGTAACATGAGCCAGATTCTTTTCATTACACAGAGATCACAGAAAGGAATACTGCAGAGTCAGGCTCAAATGAACCAGATTCAAATGTGTATGAATTTTTTTGTAACCAGAATACAGCCACATGGAGTTTTATGTTTTAATTTTGGCATTAGCTAAATAAGACTTTGGCTTAGGAGTGAGGAAGGGGCTACTTAGTAAATCTGAGGTTACTTAAGAAGTTTCTAGACATAAAGCATTGGGAACGAAGATCCTGAAGAAGGAGACAGACCAGTCATCTCATGGTAAGAAGGTGGCACTGCCCCTCAGTGATAGTATGGCAGTGTTTAGGTTAGCGATTCTATCTATTATTCTTGACTAAGATTTGGTTGTCCGTAGTAATAGGACAACTTCTATTCAAGGGTTACACAGTATAGCACCTCCAATTCTTCTACAAGCAAATATGGACCAGTCTCTCCTATCAATAAGATGGTTTTGAGTTTCACCACTAAACCAGAATTTCTTCTCTCCCAGCAGTGAGACCAATAAACAGAAGAGCAATAGCCACTATCTAAGTGACCTGGGTATACATAGAGAAGACCAGCAATCAACTTTAACTGGGTTTGGGGGTGTTTTATTTGTTTACTTATTTGTTGATTTATCAACAGAATATTGCTCTGTAGCCTAGGTAGCCTCCAAGGTGACCTTGAACTCAATTCATCAGCCTCAGCCTCTCAGGTGCTAAGATTACAGGCATGAGTTGCTATACTTGGCTAATAATTATAATGAAGTATTGAAACATAGTGTCTTGTTTTGTGGGATAAACAGTACTGTATAGTCATTGTATGAAAAAAGTATATATATATACATATATATATATATATCTAACAGAAAAAATGAATGCATTTGTAATAGTTTTTCCTGAGAATCTTAGCACTAAGGTTTGCAGCCTTATTTTCTCTGATTACTTGTATGTAACTGACATAGTCCAGGTTAAAATATACATGGATTTTTTTCTCTCTAATTTTCCTTTGATTTTCCCTTTTCTCTTTAGTTTTCTCTTTGATTTTCCTTTTCCTTATATAATTCTTAACTGTTCTTCAAAAACACAATTTGGATAGTTATATAATTCCCTCTACCCACCCCCTTATGAATCTACAATAAATTATTTAAGTGTAGTCCTTTTATTGGACATTTAGATTGCTTCTATTTTTAAGCTATTGTAAATCAACTTGTGATGACTAATGGTGTGTGTAATCTTTTCTTCCCGGCCATTTTTAAGGACAAATTCTCTGGAGTAAAATTTCTAGATCAAAGAAAACTCACATATTTAAACTTCTGGAGATATATAGTCAAGTCTCCCTCCAAAATGGTTGGGGTAGGGGATTCTCAGCTCTGAAAGCTGATGGCTAGTGGGTCATTACCTTGCAGAACTACTTTTAAGCATCGAAGTCTAGACTTTTGCCCTAAGCTCCCATCTGTCACGCCAGTGAGGAAGATGAATCTCTCTTCTCTGCCATCTGTGAAAAAAAAAAGTATGCTACATTATCCAATACACCTCCCTTTTATTAAGAGAAATCTTAAGAGGCAGGAAATACCATGTTATTTGGTGACACTAGTTTTTCTCCCAGACACAATTTAATGAGGAAACATTTCAGAAGGACAAAATGTGTTGAGCGTACTGGAGCATCTTGGAGCTGACTCATCCCTTTTCGTGATGTGGGATCCAACCTGTGGAAGCCCAGGCTGGGCCACAAACCACCTGATTGACCACACTGCTGTCCGTGTTTAGTGGGTTGGGCTTCAGCTATCAAGACTTTAAGGGTAAAAAAAAAAAAGACTTTAAGGGTGGCATCAGGATTGCTTCTCCCTAGCCAGAAGTCATCTGTGGCACAGCTGAAGGGAATGAGGTGGGAGGGGTGTTGGGGCAGCTCTTTGCTTACTGCCTATATGGCCTTGCGTGGAGTTCATTTCCCCAGGCTGCACCTTGGTGGTAATGTTCTTGCCCGTGAGTCAGGAGCCACTAAGCCTACTTTGTAGGAAAAGAATAAAATCCAATATTTAGGACAAGTTGACATCCTGAGGGTTTTTTAAAAAATTATTTTTCTTACCTGTAAGTCGTTGTACCAAGGAGTTGCCATTCAACACAGCAGTTTCTGAATGCAGTGCGTCTGGATCAAGGTCACCCTTTCCCTTCTGCCTTCTCACCCACCCCTCCAGCTCAGCCCTTCCCTCGCCTTCTTTTTTAATTTTTAGGTTAAAAAGAAAATCTCTGTTACTTAACGAAACAGTTTACATATGTAATGCTTCTCGAGCTGCATCCTCCCTTGAACAGCTTCACCTGCTTTGACCCACCCCTCCCCTTATTTTTCTCAATTCTGTGGTGTATACAATGCATCCTTGCCTGCATTTCCCTGCTTCAACCTCATAGGTGAAATATTTCTCACTTATATGAAATCTTTCTCTCTCTCTCATACACACACACGCACACAAACTTTAAAGAATAGAAACTATCTAAATGTCTATAGGTAAAAGATAAGTACAACTAATGTGCAAGTAGGAAATATTTTTACTACTTAACTGTAATGGCACTGACAGGAAAGACTCTCTTTTTTATTCTCTCTCTCTTTTTTCTTTTTAAACAGGGGCCTACTATATAGCCCAGGCTGGCCTTGAACTTACAACACTTGGGCCTAAGCTCCTAAGGACTGGGATGGAAGGCATAGACCTAGCTAGGATTGCATTTCTTTAATATCTTTTAACTTAAATTTAATTACTTAATGTATTGTCTTTAAGTAATTGTAGAAAGAGATTTAAACCCAACATCCCAATTCATGAGTATAATGCATCTTGAGTTTTTTTTTGGGGGGGGTCCGGTCATGGGGCCTGAACTCTGGCCTGGGCACTGTCCCTCAGCTCTTCAGCTCAAGGCCAGCGCTCTACCACTTGAGCCACAGCACCACTTCCGGCTTTTTTCTTTTTGCTTATGTGGTGCTGAGGAATCGAACCCACGGCCTCAGGCATGCGAGGCAAGCGCTCTACCACTGAGCCACCTTCCCAGCTCCCTGCATCTTGCGTTTTAAAGGCACTACAATTGAGAAAGCACATTCTGAACTGTCAGTTCTTTATCTATTACATCACCAGGTGTTGTTTTGTCTGTCTTACCCCAAATGCAATTATCTGTAAGCATTTATTACAAATTGGCCTTTCAGATACTCATTATAAGTTCCAAATTTAACAATTGTTCATTTGGGGGCATAGCTTTTCTTGTGTGACAAGAAAAGTGAGGACTAGGATTGTAGGCCTGGACCTAGCTAGGATCACATTTCTTTAATATCTGAGTTGCTTACTAAGTGACTCATAGGACCCCCCCCTCTCATTTATTTATTTATTTTATTTATTTATTTTGTCAGTTGTGGGGACTGAACTCTGGGTCTTGGTGCTGTTCCTCAGCTCTTCAGCTTAAGGCTAGCACCCTACCACTTGAGCCACAGCACCATTTCCATCTTTTTTTTTGCTTTTGAGGTACTGAGGAATTGAACCCAGGGCCTCATGTGTGTGAGGCAAGCGCTCTACCACTGAGCCACCTTCCCAGCCCCTCTCATTTATTAAGGACACTGTACTTGGCCCCATCATTTCTCAGTGTACAAACAGAAAGTTCATCTCAGGAAGCAGTAGGGAGATGTTGAAGGTTAGGACCTGAATCTGTGAGACTATTAAACATAATTGTAAAGCTTGGCCCTGGTGGCTTACACCTTGTAATCCTAGCTATTCAGAAGGCTGAGATTTGAGGATCATAGTTCAAAGCCAACCCGGGCAGGAAAGCCTATAAGACTCAACTCCAATTAACTACCAAAAAAAGCTGGAAGTGGAGTTGTGCCTCAAGTGGTAGAGTGCCAGTCTTGAGCACAAAAGCTCAGGGGCAGTGCCCAGGCCCTGAGTTCAAGCCCCTGGACCTGCACAAACAAACAAACAAAAGGCAAACATATTTTAGCACGTGTGCATTTCATTTTGTAAATGAAAGGAGCTGTGGCTTTTCTCCCTGAACTCAAATACCCAAAGCAGGAGCAAGCCTGTAGGTGTTTCACCCTGGCAGGTGGAGGTCACACTGTTTTAATGAACACTCTCAACCTGGTGGCCTCACAAGAGAAATCCCTATCATACTGCGCTTAGGGACCCGCAGCTACAGGGGATACCGTTGGTCTTAACAATGGCTGCCTCTAACTGAAGAACAACCTCTTTGGAGCTCTTTGTTCTTAGAGAAGAAAAAGACAGGCTTCAGTCAACTATTTGTTGTCAGTTATTGACTTCAAGTGAAAACCCATCTGCCTAGGCGGACAAAAAAGAAGGATGTGTAAGTTACAAAATAGAGCTGAGCATGGTGGCTAACACTTGTAATCCTAACTACTCAGGAAGCTGATAGTTGATGATCATGGTTCATAGCTAGCCTAGACAGGAAAGTCTATGAAATGTTTCTCTCCAGTTAAGTAGCAAAAGGCAGGCAGTGGAGGTTTGGCTCAGGTGGTTTTTCTTTGAGCAAAAAAGTTAAGGGACAGTGCCCAGGCTCTGAGTTTAAGCCCTAGTACTGGCACCAAAAATAAATAAAGGAAGGGAGGGAGGGAAGGAGAGAGGGAGGGAGGAAGGAAGGAAGGAAGGAAGGAAGGAAGAAAGGAAGGAAGGAAGGAAGGAAGGAAAGAAGGAAGGAAGGAAGGAAGGAAGGAAGGAAGGAAGGAAGGAAGGAAGGAAGGAAGGGAGAGGTAGATGGGACATTACAAAGCAACATATTGACTAAAAGCTTGTTAGTTTACCATGTGTACTATCTATTCATTTGCACACATTTCTTAAGGGAATTGTTTGTTTTTGAAACTTCTAGGTAGTCTAAATATGCTCTGCTTTAATTATTTCCAGTCTTGTATATCTATATGTACTTATGATTTAGAAGACTTTAAACTTGCCCAGTCTACTCTTTTTCTAACACTTTGAATTTTGGAAAAATTTATTTTTTATCTTAAAATCAATACTTACATATTTTAGGCAAATGAAAACAACGGCACCCCTTTTTAGAGGACAACCCAGAAATAAAAACAATGCAGTTGCCCTCTGACAAAGTAACTTCACTTCAAATTACTGTATCCTATACATCTGTGAAATGACAAGTTTATGAAGTGCATTGCTGCATATTTTTCTGCAACAGCAAAGGATCTGAAATTACCTATGTGTCCATCAGCTGAGATAAGTTGTAGTTGTTCATGGTTAGGATAACGATTTGTCCAGGTTCTTGTGAGTTAGTTCACTTAGTTAAAGCATTCCCTTCTCTTTCCAAAGTATCTCAATTTGGACAATATGTTATGTGTTTATTCTAAGTTTGGTCCTCTCTCTCCATGGCATACCAGATAGTCACTTTTTTTTATTATCTTTAAGTACTTGTGTAAAGTAATTGCCACTTAACAAAGCAGTTTATGAATATAATATATCTTGATCAGTGTTGCCCCTTTCGACATCTCACCCATCCCTCCCCATACTCCGTCCCTCATTCTTCTTAATTTTGTAGGATATACATTAGATTTTGGATTCCATTCTCCCTCTTCTCTTCATTTGTCTAGCTCTTTCCCCTTGCTTCCTAGTGCTTTATTTTGTTGGATTTTGCCTTAGCCTCTAGAAGGAATTATGCTGAGGTCTCCCTTCAATCTACCATATTTCAGTTAATACATTCAGTTATAAACCTGTATACCACCAATATATTTCATTGTGAGTCTATAAGTTAAATCTAGCATCCACATATCAGGGAAAACATGAGTCCTTTGTCTCCCCGAGCCTGACTTACTTCATTTAACATAATTTTTCCAGATCTTTCCATTTGTTTATAAATAGTACAATATCATTCTTTTTTTTTTTGGGGTCCAGTCCTGGGGCCTGAACTCTGGGCCTGGGCGCTGTCCCTCAGCTCTTCAGCTCAAGGCTAGCACTCTACCACTTGAGTCACAGTTCCACTTCTGGCTTTTTTTTCTTTTTGCTTATATGGTGCTGAGGAATTGAACCCAGGGCTTCAGGCATGCAAGGCAAGCGCTCTACCACTGAGCCAACTTCCCAGCCCCAATATCATTCTTTCTACTGAGTTAAAATTCCATTGTGTATATATACCATATTTTCTTGATCCATTTGCCCATTGAGGGGCATCTGGGCTGATTCCATACCTTGGTTTGGCTTCAATAAACATGGTTGTGCTGGTGACCAGGTAGCCATTTTAAGTAAGGAATGGCAAGACTTCTTATCTTTGTTTGTTTGTTTTTTAAATGGTGTAATTAGTTTGGGTTTTAAAAGGGTGAGAAATAATGTGGAATGTGTGTAAGCAAATTTATATACACATATTTCTGGAAATAGAAATAAGAAACTAAGAAATATTATGAGCATTGAGGGTAGAAATTTGAGTGGCTGAGGACAAAAGTAGAAGAGAAACTTTTTAGGATGCCCATTTCTTGTATTTTCTTTAATTGTGTGTATTCAAAAACTTAAAACCCATTTTAGAAAGGGAATTATATGTATATATAACATATATAATTTACATATTAAAATAGCTCTTTTGGGATACAGTGCTGGTTTTGAACTCAGAGCCTTTCACTTTCTGGGTAAGCTCTATGCCACTGGAGCCACATACATCTTTGCTTTAGGAATCTTTCCTTTAAGGAACCTTAGACTTCATTCTCTTATTTCTGCTTTCTTAATATTGGGGATTAAAGGTATGTACCACCATACCAAGCTCCGGAAAACAAGTTTATAAAAGTAACCATTATAGAGGAAACACAGGAGGAGGCTACAATGCTTGATAAGAAATGTACTCATTAGCTTGCCCATGTAACTATAACCCCTCTGTACAGTATTTTCACACACACACACAAAGAATCCCATAGCCTGGAAAGCAGGCATACTCTTTAAATAAAAGTATCCATTATAAAATTAGCAATTCTGTTTCTGAATTATTTGTTTGAAAGTGATTTTTATAGTCATCTTTTTTAATATATAATTTGGACTTAGATTAAAGTTCTTCAGATTATCGTAATACTAGTGTAAGTATTAACAGGAGTATTTATGGCAATAGTTTCTAACATAACATATACTGCTTAAGTATTCCTTAATTTGGAAATTTATGTTTTTATAAAGTCTTTTTGAATTATCCATGCATATGTATCTTCAGGTTGGATTCCCAAAAGGCAAATTGCTGAATCTAAGAAATGCACAATTCTAAAAGCTTAAGGCACTTCAGTCCTTAAATCATCTTAAGAGATAACAGAACCAATTTATTTCTTGCTACTAGAATGTAAGACTAGCAACTTCCTCATACCTTCCCAACACAAGATCTTATCATTCTTATTCATCTTGGCCAATCTGTTTAATAAACTGTTTTTGTATTGTGGTCTCAATTTGTATTCAAATTTGTAGTTGGCTAAATCTCTTTCCTTGTATTCCACTATTTGTATTTCTTATGGGCAAAAACTAACAAAAGAAAAATAAACAATGTGATAGCTTTAACAGAAAGTTCTTGGAGGATGGAATTATTTCTGTTCATTTTCATGTATTTCTTTTTTGCTTGTCAAGATGCTCAGGTCAAGAGCAGCTTTTAGAAATGTCAAATTTAAAATAATTATATTGGAACTAAGAAACGGAGGGCTGGATGAGGGTGGGAGAGATGGGGGAGGATTATGCCAGGGGAGACACTGATCAAGATGTATCATACACTGATACATTAACTTGAAACTGCTTTGTACAACTACCTAAAGATAATAAATAAAGTAAAATAAAGTGGTTATGTGTCTCCAGACCAGCTACACAGTTTTGTACCTCTGAAAATCAGCACTGTTTACCATATCCTATTTTCTGCTCGGTCACAGATTTATTCATTCACCCAAGTTGACGAGCCAGTATTACCACTTCTGATTCAATACATCATCAGTAGAGTGGTACTGGTGCAGGCAGAAGTCATCTAAAAGTTAGTTGTAATTATTTTAGTTATTTTTAACTCCCGTTAGGGTGTCATTGCACATAACAAGAGGATATTTCTGTTGGGATGGTTTTACCTTAGGCCGTATGTTCACCAAATCAGATGTCTCTTGACATGCTCTCCAGTCCATCTGGCTTACAGACGGTTGTCAGTAATACATGAGCAATCTGCATCATGTATGTATGTCTAAACATCAAACAAATCAAATTCTTTTGATGTCTCCCTCAATCAGTCTTTAGTTTCAAAAACATTCTCTGTGGCACAGTGCTGAGTACAACAGGACCATCACCCAAGTCTGCCCTTTCCTCCCCCCATTGCACACTCAAGCAGTGTTTTAAGGGATTTAAAACACTTAACTGCTTCAAAAGACACTTGAGCTGGGATGCCTGCCTTTCTCCAGGCTGCTCTCAGACATGCATCACGTGCATGACACAGAGTGTCCCATTTCCCCACTCTGTGTGGTCCATGGTGCCTGATAAGACCCAGGCTCCATTGGAAGGGTTTTCTGATGTTTACCCAGGGTGCAGAGGGTCTGGTTCTTAGGGATATTATGTCAGTAGCTACCTAGGACAATGTAGGAAGAGAAAGAACAGCAGGCTCATTTAATTCACCACCACCACCATCATGAGACAGAGAAGCACGATTTATATTTGTCACATGAGATGACCGATACCCAGGCCTATGAAGGGAGGAGACCGTTTTTACATCCCACATCTCAGGGAAAAGTGAATGAGTTTTATGTCAAGTGTCTGAAGATCACAAGTCAATATTAAAAGTAGATGGTTAAATGTCCATGGAGCATTCACTGTCATTCTAATTGTGAATACCAGGAAACCCTTCCACAGTCCAGAGCGGAGGGAGAGAGTTCACCGGTCTTACAATCTGATTGTGATACAATAAAACAGAAATAAAAAGCTGGACTGTAATTTAAAAACCCTTTCCATTTGCAAGCCTCATCCACATGCTTCCCACAAAAATACTCACTGGTACTCTGAAATCAAAAAGGAAATCAGGAGGAAGTGAAAATTACCAGGTAACTTCTGAGACAGTCAATGTCAGACTCAGAGGAAGTTTTCTATTGCTTATTTTTTAAAAGGAAAAAACAGAAGAACTTATTAACTCAACTTAGGAAATAAAGATAGGCTTTAAAAGGCTACCAAGATAGATACGGTGGGAGAGCTGGGGGAGAGACAATGTAAGGGGAGACATTGATCAACATTCATTTTTGTACAATTAAAGATAATTTTTAAATAAATAAATATAGCAAGAGAGAATTAATAAAGATAAAAGCTGGTGGAAGTAGCACGTGGCTCAAGTGGTAGAGCGCTCGCCTTGATCTGAAATGCTCAGGGACAGCGCCCAGGCCCAGAGTTCAGGCCCCATGACTAACAACAAAAAAAAAGATAAAAGCTGAAATTTAAAGGATTAGAAGGATGAATAAATCAATCCCAAAGCTGGTCTGTCATTGGGAAAACCAATTAAAAAATGTAAATCCAAAGAGAAAAAAAGCCATGGCAAACTAATAGATATAAAAGAAGTGAAAGGTTTTTTTTGTGATTTTTATAAACCAATCCATGGCAAGAAGTTTGATAAGCAACAGAAAAGGATAATTTCTTAACAAACTACAAATTATCAAAATTAACCTCAGAAGGGAATACCTTGAATAATCCAGTTGCCATAGAAGAGACTGGGGAAAAAAACTAATGAATTAGCATTGACAAGGATCAGATGGTACAATGATACTACCAAATGGTACAAATCTAACCTTTCTTCATCTTCCAGCTTGATTGAAATATAATAGACATGTAAAATTTATATATCTATTTAAAGGTATATAGTGATTATTTGACATCTGTCTCTGTTTTGGCCTCAATCAAACTAATTAACACATCTATCACTCAATTATCTTTTTTTTTGGTATGTGTGCTGACAACACCTAAGATCTAGCAAATTTCAAGTAAACAATCCAGTATTTTAAACTATATTCACTATGCTGTACACCTGGAATTTATTTATTTTGTAACTGAAGATTTGTTACATGTAACCAACATCCCATTTTATCCAACCACTGGCAACTGCTATCCTACATTATACTCTGTGCTTCATTTGGATTCTAAAATTTAAGATTCCACAAATAAATGAAATCATATCATATTTCTCTTTCTGTGTCTGGCTTATTTCACTTAATATAAGGTCCCTATATTGTCACAAATGATAGGATTTCTTTCCTTTTTAAGGCTGAATAATATTTCATTAAATACACACCCCATTTTCTGATTATCCACTGAAGGATACTTGGAATTTTCCAATATCTTGGCTATTGTAAATAGTATTGGCAGCAAACATGTTATTTAAACTATTCCAAGTTTAAATTTTACTGAAAACATGTGGTATACTCCCCATAGTTCTGGTGCTAAAACAGTGAGCACGGACCTGTGTATAAATCCATCCATGATAAGTCATGCCATAATAAGTAATAAGTCTAGGCTGTAATTCCTCAGAGCTCGTGTGTGTGTGTGTGTGTGTGTGTGTGTGTGTGTGTGTGTGTGTGCTTCCTCTGTAGTTCACACAGCATCAAGGAAGCCTGAGTCACACATACCATGGAAACATTCCTGGAATGTAGTATGGGAGTGGGTCTTCTTCTTCCTCCATGACCAGGTATGCACAGATTTCTTTTAAGCTATTTCATTATTTGTAACCTATTGGCACTCTTGGTTACTGTATCATTGAGGCTACTGTCTCCACATGTTGTGTGTGAAAATTTATACAACAAGAGGCAATGCGTGAGTGTGATGAAGAGTAGAAACTCAGAAATAACACCATTTGGAGCCAACTCCTGATTCCACCATAGCTTAGCAGGCACACAGCTGGCTGTGTGCTTGACTTTCCCACCTGGGCAATGGAAATAAGGGCCCTCCTCAAATTATTTACCTGAGATATAAATCTGTGACACTATTGCTGGGAATAGTGTCAGCACATGAAAAGTATGTAAGAAGTCAGTGCTGATGAGGATGATAGCATCATCCTCATCTATTTTATCATTACTTTTAGGCGATGAAAGATTATGATTTTTTTCATTCAAACTGGCAGTGTTTCTTAGCTTCTCCCTAGATATACCATGTGACCTTGAAGTACAAGGGAGCTGAATTTTTTAAAAAAACAATTATGAAGTCAGGCATCAGTTGCTCACACCTGTGATCCTAGCTACTCAGAAGGCTGAGATCTGAGCATTGAGGTTCAAAGCTAGGCCAGGCAGAAAAGTCAATAAGACTTCTAATCACCAAAAAGCCAGAAGTGGAAGGTGGCTCAAGTGGTAGAGCCTTGAGTAAAAAAAGCTAAGGGACCGTGCCCAGGCCCTTGAGCTTAAGCCCCAGAACTGTTACACACACACACACACACACACACACACACACACACACACAATAAAATACGTAACACAAGATTTCCCACAGTATCCATTTTTGAGTGCACAATTCAGTGTTATTAAATCCATTTGCATTGTTGTACAGCATTCATCACCATTTGTCTCCAGAACTTTTTAATCATTCAATTGTTCCAAACAAACTTTGCAAATGAGAATTCTGCAGAACTTATTTAAATGTGCTCTTTCTCTACATCTGTAAGATAAGCACAGTTGGGACTTTGTTGCTAGTATTTATGTGGTAGAAATGACAAAGTGCCAAACACTTGATAGGGCCTCAGTAATTCTTGTCCAGGGTACCTGAGTGTCCTCCTTCAAAAACTCTAGTGCTTAGGGGAAGGTGCTTGCAGCCATGTTGGTGGCATTCTTCGTTCCTATGTACTCCTTCTGTCTTCCTCTTCATTTTCCCTGCTGACATTTTTTTTCCCCTCAGACAGGTTGGTTTGTGAATACAAACAGCATATGCAATGTGTTAACTCCTTTTGGATGCCAAGAATGTGCTAGGTGCTATTTTAGAGAAATAACTTGACTATTAGATTTACTGTATAAATTAAGCCAACACTAGCTTGGAAAGAGGAAGCCAGTATCCATGGGAAATTTATTATTTTGAATATACTATTTAAAAAAAGCATTCCTTGAAGATGAAATGTGGTTTCCACTTGTACATGTTTACAAAGCCAAGAATCTAAAGTTATTTGAAGACAATTTCTTCTCCACACCTTTTTCGAATTAGATAGAAAGATACTGGAATATTGAAGATGGCCCCAAGTTCAGCTAAGAACCTGATAAATTGAAAGAATAAAAAGGAATGCTGTGATTTTCCACCAGATTCTTTTTTATTTAATTATTTTTTGCTTTGAATTCCTGCTTCCTCCTTTTCATATGCATTTTAATAGCAGCAGAATGTTTTTAGGTAAACTTTCCTCCAGATGAAATTAAACTTTCTCTAGGTCATGGTCTGAATGGATGAGTGCAAAGGTTGCTTATGGCTTTTTACTTTGTGGTATTTCCTTTCTTGCTGGCTTTTTAGCCTTCTCAGTAGAAAGGTTATGACCTTAAAGTGCAATTGAGGTGATGGTATTTGGATCTATCATTAAGGCTCCTACACTTCACAACCCATTTGGCCTCTCAAAGTCTGTTTCTTTTTCTAATGTTATCCACATGCCTGACCCAGACTATGAAGGAATTTGTTCCTGGGGTCACTTCTGACTAGTAAATCGTTGTCTTAACTTGCAGCCCTAGAGAGAAAAGTATGAAAGGTATCCTTTCTTATGAAGCTTGAAGGATGCAGAGATGAACTGGGCCCTTGCTGTTTGACTCCTGTTGGCCTTGCATTCCTTAGGATAGGCATTAACGTTGTAGGAACTGATAGGAAGCTGATAGTTTTAGATTATGGGCCACAATGAAACAGCGATGTCTGCTTCACTCTGCGTTGAGTATCGTTTGAAAGCCTGAGCCCTGTCTCCATAATTTATCTGCATGTATGAAAGTATATCATCTGCATGTATGGAAGTGTCACAATGAGACCCTTTACTTACTGTGTACAATTTGATATTTGCCAATAAAACAGCAGGTTTTGAAGCAGAGGATTCTGAAGTCCAATGTGTTTAGGAAATGCTAGGTTGAGAGAGTTTCTTAGGGTTTCTCAGAATTGTGAGTCTAAGTATTATGACCTCCGGTTGGTGAATATTATGTGTCACATCTCTCCCACTTTATTTGATTCAGAATCCCCTAAGACGTATACTTCAGGACTATGAGACATGATGAAGAACAGTTTTATTGCTGTTCTTTAACCACTAACAGTATTATTTTAATGGTTTCTAAGTGCACAACCCAGTGACATGAAGTAGATCCATGACATTATGCTGTCACCACCACTGTCTAGTTCATGAAGGCGGACACCGTGAAATAGCATAAACACCATGAAATAGCTTCTAAACATGGATGTTTGTTTCTCATTGTTCTGGAGGTAAGAATTCTAAGATGGAGGCAGTAATAGACTTGTTGTCTGGCAAGGGCTCTGCCACATGGCTAGCATCATCTGTCTGTACTCTGATCTGGCCGAAGGGCAGGGGTGCACTCTGGAATCTTTTTTTTTTTTTTACAAAAGCAACCCAAATATTATTTATTTAATATACATTGCAAGGACTTACAGGCTTAATTTAAAAAACAGAAAACATAACAAAAACAACACCACAGATCCAGATAACAGAGTCCTCTACAGAAGTCAAGGGAAAGGACAGGTAGACTAAGGAAAAAAACATACAACACAGGAAAAGCTGGACAGCTCAGGTCAGAGCTCTTGGCTACAGACTTGTTTGAAGTGGTTTCTTGCAGGTACGTCTTAAAAGCTGTGGGTTTTTTCCAGAGCTTGGCAGCATGTGCGTTCAAAGGCCTGTCGATGTTGGGCTCTCCTACCCGGCTCTGGATAGACAGCAGGAGGGTCCTGTTGTCATACAGGGCCAACCACTTGTCTTTGAGGATGTCAGACAGATGTTTCCCTGGGTGTCCACGTGGGGATGGTAGCAAGGCCTGAGGAATTTCACCATGGGTGCATTGTAAGGGTAGCCACTAGAGAACTCCAGATCTTCATATACTGTGCCGGCTGCTCCATGGAGAGTCCCTACCCATTTGAAAAGGTTGTCTGATTCAAGGAAGGTAGAAATTGCATTGTCACCAGACATCATGAGAGTCATCAGCTCGGCTTGGCTCCTTGGTGGCGGCAGCTGGGTCACGGTTTGGGGAGGCCATGGGGGCGGTGCTGGCAGGGAGACAGAAAGTCCACACTGGGGAACTGCCTGGAATCTCTTTTATAAGGGATTCTGTTCCAAAGGGTCCTTGCCTCCCAGAGGCCCCGCCTTCCAATGACCCCGGTCCCGAAGGGCCCCGCCTCCAATACCTTACATTAGGGATTTTTTTTTTTTTTTGGTAAAGGTGACATACAGAGGGATTACAATTACATGAGTAAGGAATTGAGTACAATTCTTGTACTCATTGTTACTCCCTCCCTCCTTTTCTCCCCCATCCCTCCCCGCCTACTGCCCTCTCTCCCAAGTTGTAAAGTTCATTTCCAACATAGTGTCTTGTGAGTATCACTGTTGCATTGGTCACCCTTTTTCTCACTGTTGCTGTGATTCCTCTTCCCATCTCCAAATCAGACAGGAGGTAAACCAAAGGGGGATAAAAATAAAAGAAAAAAATAATTGCATACAGTACACTAAGGGGGGAGACCCTCTTGTTTCCACATCTTGGAGTTCATTTTGTTTAGCATCATTTTATAAGGTCGTATGTATATAGCCATTGAGCTATTATAATCCTCTGCTAGAACTATCCTAGACCTATGCTAATTACTATAAGTGAGGGAAACCAAGCATCCTATGTTTTTTACCCAGAGAAACACAATATGATTTTTTCCAAGTCTTTCCATTTCTGGAATGATGTCACTTTTTCTGATGGAAGCATAGAATTCCATTGTGTATATATTCAATAGTTTCTTGATCCATTCATCTACTAAGGAGCATCTGGGTTGATTCCATATCTTGGCTATGGTAAATAATGCTGCAATGAACATAGTTGTGCTGGTAACTTTATTGTGGGCTTGTTTGTGGTCATTTGGGTAAATACCCAGGAGTGAGTGGGATATAAATTCTAGGGCACATGCTTCCCATCTGTAATGCCATTTGCAGATGTTTTTAATCATCATAAGCTCTGTGCCCATTAATTAGTAACTATCCATTATTGCCTGGCTCCCAGACCCTGGTAACTTGACTGATCTAGGAGCCTCATATAAATGGAATCATACAACAGTTTTCTTTGGTGTCTGGCTTACTTCACTTAGCATAATGTCTATTGTTACAGGATTACTAGAATTTTACTCCATTTTATTACTGAATAATGTTCCCTTGTAAATACATGGCACAACTTCTCTATCCCTCCACCTCTTGATGGACATTTGGATTGTTTTCCCTTTTTGGCTGTTGTGAGTATAAGCATTATTTAAAAGTAGAATTACTAGAACATGTAATTCTGTGTTCAATTTTTTGAGGAACCACCAAATTCTTTTCCACAACAGTTATGGACTTTCTGTCCATTCTCACCAGGATTTATTTTTCATAATAGCTGTCTAAAGAGGATAGAATGGCATTCAGTTGTATTTTACTTATACATTGTGATTGCTGTTTAATTCAATATATACTAATGTGTGATTCTGTTGCCATTAATTACATAATTTAGCACAATATGTGACTCGTGTGGATTGGAAGATATCTTAAACAGAATCTCCCATATTCAAGGAGATGAGCCTGTTGTTCCCACAACTAGATGTGATTGTAATGCCCAATTGTTTTTAAAGCTCCTACATGCTTGTTTTTCAATTCTGTATTTATTTAATCATGGACTAGTACCAAACCCATTATCATCCATGGGCTACATTTCATCACTGTTCTGGGTCATGCGTGTCAAGTTATGGGCATTATGGGATTATGGGCCTATGATAGTTGAAGCAGTTGTATTCTAATGTAAATGAAAACTATTTTTCATTTGCCTCTCAAAGCACAATTAGTAAATTATGTTGGAAACCAATCTGGTGGAAAACATTTTAATGCTTCCATTGAGTCTCAGGGTTAGGTTAAGTAGTTTGGGGAATGGCTCAGTAATTTTTTCAGAGGAATAAATTGCTTGCAGTCTCAATTGTTTTTCTGATCATCTGGGCTCCCAGTCCTCCTGAGAGAGCACAGTGGGACTGACCTTCAAGTGAGCTTGAATGTCAAGTCCTTGAGAGAAGAAATGGAAGCTGTTTGAATGTCCACAAGTGTGTAATGCAGAGAGAGGGATCAAAATCAAGAGGAGGGAACAATGGGATCTTAGGGGTTGGGCATTCTTTGTTCCTAAACATCCCATAAGATGGGAGCAGAATTCATGAGCTTTTACTTGCTTCATTTGTAAACTGTTAACTTCTGTAGAACCAAAGAGCAAAAGAAATAAAGTAAAATTAAATTTGAGCATTTAGCCAGGCACCAGTGGCTCATACCTATAATTCTAGCTACTCAGGAGGCTGAGATCTGAGAATGGTAAGTTGAAGCCAGCCTGGGCAGGAAAGTACTTGAGACTCTTATCTCCAATTAACTTCCAAAACGTTGGCTCAGCTGATATAGTATCAACTTAAGCAAAAAAGCTAAGGCACAGCACCCAGGTCGAGTTCAAGTCTTAGAATTTGCCCAAAAAAGCATTATATTTAGTACAGTAGCAGTTAAGTTAGCATTCTATTCTTTAAGGACTTTGTTCTGAGTTTAACTCTTGTTATTTAACCTGGTCTGGTCTGTAACTGGCTGTATAGCCCAGATTGACCTCAGACTTGCGCTCCCTCTTGCCCAGTTGCTGGGATTTCAGGTGTGTTTCACCCTACTCTGCTTTGCTCTGTAAGAATTGTGCAAGAAAAATCCACCTTGGGTCTACTTTTGTGAATATAGCCTGGGTTCCATGTCTCCTCTTAATGAATCACATTTTTCTTGTAGAAATGATTCTCCAACTAGTTCTTCTCTACCATTTTCTTGCAGTTTTATGGCCCCATCTGCCACTGTGCGATGAAACTTGACTCTGGGCAGGAAAGTAGAGGGTTTTTTTTGAGGGTTTTATTTTTCCTGAGATGTTTTTTTCCCAGTACAAATGAGAAAAAGAGTTGGACCTCTCAGAGAGTGACATTTTTCATGCCTAAAACTTGGAACTTGGAGATCCATGTGGAAGAAATCTGGTGAAATCATGCAGAACAGGCAGACAAGAGGTAAAGCAAGTCTAGGCTCCAAATTCGGGAGGCTCTGACCTCTAGTTACTTCAAAGTCACCTGCATCCCCACCCCACCCGGGGCTGGCTTAGACCCATTGTGTAATCCAACATGTGCTTTTATTTCTCTCATTTACAAATAAGAGTCTTAATTCTAATGATGACCCCTCTTGCCCAGGACACTTCCCACATTACCTTTCATACATTAAGCATAGGATGCATAATAACATGAAAACAATGACTCTTTGATCTTTGCCCTAACCAAGATTCACATCTTCCTCCAGTTGTTGAAAAAAATCTTAACATATTATTGCAAAATGCCTTAGAATATTCAACTTTATATTCTTTTCTTTAAAAAAAAATGGGTGAGGGAATTTAACCCCTGGGAAAGGGATGGGGCGGAGGAGGGTTGATGTTTTCTGTGAGCAGCAGAGACTAAAGAATGCAGAAGAATGTTGGGTCAGAGAGGGAACTGGCCCGAGATGCCCAGAAGACTTTTCCAAGCTTATCTAATTGGTCCAGTGATTACAGCACCATTATTTCTAGACGTTCTGGGAGCCAAGTTAGGGATTGAAGGTGGTCAATCTATAATACACCACTTTCTCTCCCAGTTGAGATATATACACAGGAGTTAGGAAGAGATCAGAATATCAGCTTTACTTAACATGAAACAAATTAGAGCATATGGCTTTTAGAGCTTCAGCCAAGCAATTCTCTAATCCTTACTCCTAAATTAAATAAATGCATCCCCCCCCCAATTCCTGGGACAGCTGGACAGCCACAGACCTCCCCTACAGAGAAAGACACCTTACCACATGACAGAGTAGACAGGATACATATGTCCTACAGACAGGCTGTCATTAGGAAAGGAAATCTAGAATTGGATGAGCTAGACAATTCTCCTTACTTCTTCCAAAATATAAGGGGAAGAGAGGTGTGGGGCCAGGAGCATTGTTCTCCTTGATGTCGTTCCATATATACACATTGTGTCTCTCTCTTCAAGAAGAGACGAAAGAGAGTTGGGCTAGCCCCCAGGCCTACGTGTTCCACTTGTGCTCTTTATTTTCTCTATTTCTTGATTCCTCAAAGAACAACAAAGAGGTAAAAACATTGAAGACACAGACAGTGGAATAGTTGAACAGTCACACAGGACTGGATCCTGAAGGAAATAAAGCAACTTGGGGAGAAGGACATGGACAGGAAAGAAAGGACAGAGTAGAGAGAGAAAGTTGGCATTGTGGAAGAGAAACAATGAGAAATCCAGAAGGAGGGGCTAAGGTCAAGGAGTAGGATGCAGGAATTTGAGATCCCTTGAATGGTTCTGGGTAATGATAAGCCAGAAAGAGAATGTGTAAATGGAAATGATTAGAATAGAATGTAAGCAGCAAGATGATCATGGTTCAAGGCCAACCTGGACAAAAAGTTAGTAAGACCTCCACATCAACAAAAATTCTGGCCATAATGGCATGTACCTATAATCTGAGCTGTGTAGGTGATATGAATAGGAGGATCATAGTCCATGTCAGCCTGGGCAAACAAAAAAAAAGGAAAGAAAGAAAAAAAATGAGACCTTACCTAAAAAATAACACAAAAAGGATAAAGGAATGGCTCAGGTAGCAGAGTGCCTGTCCTGTAAGCACAAGGCTCTGAGTTCAAACCCCAGTACTACCATAAAATAAAATAATGAAGAAAGTCCAACTTATCAGTTTTCATCCTAGCAATGGAAGCAAGTGTAATAATAGAAAACATTTACTGGATTATGGCTCTGTGCCAGACACCTCTATTGTAACTGCTTTACATATATTCTCCTATTTCATTCTACATAGCAATCTTATGACTTTATGGCTACCTCCATTTTTTGCACTCACTCATTTCATACATTTGTGTTATGTCCTCACTCTACTGTAGATATTGTTCC